CTCCCCCTCTCCCTCCCTCCCTCTCCAGAGAGCACTCACAGCAAGACGTGACCAGCCAGCAAATGGCCACAAGTGGACACTAATTTCACCCAAATGCCAATAGGATCCCCTTTCACTTAACCCTCTTCAACTACTCCTCCCCCGTGTCTCTCTGTCTATCTCTCTACTTTTCTTATCGCATGTCGCTGTCTGTCTGTCTGTCTGTCTGTCTGTCTGTCTGTCTGTCTGTCTGTCTGTCTGTCTGTCTGTCTGTCTGTCTTATCACTTATTAATCAGTCTCATTTTTCTCTTTTATGTCTTTCAGTCGATCTCTTTGCATTAAATCCATTTACTTAGTCCTCTTCAACTACTCCTCCCTCGTGTCTGTCTGTCTATCTCTCTACATGTCTTATCGCATTTCGCAATGTCTGTCTGTCTATCTGTCTGATTTTTATCACTTGTCTGTCTATCAGTCACTTTTTTTTTCTTTTATGTCTTTCTGTCTATCTGTTTGCATAATACTCTATAACTTAGCTACTCAACTTCTCCTCCCTCGAGTCTGTCTGTCTATCTCCCTGCGTGTCTGTCTGTCTATCTACATGTTTTTATTGCATGTCTATAAGTCGATTTTTGTCTTTTATGTCTTTCTATCTATCGCTCTGCATAACCTAGTCTTCTTCAATTACTCCTCCCTCGTGTCTGTCTCTCTATCTCTCCGCCTGTCTCTCTGCATGTCTTTCATGTGTCTTTCACGTGTCTTTCACGTGTCTGTCTGTTTATCTACATGTCTTAACTCGTGTCTTGTCTGTATTATCTGAACGTTTTTAGTGTTATCCTGTGACTTAGTCTTTGTCTAGGTGTCTGTATTTGTGCCTTCGTGTGTGCCTGTGTCTGCTTGTGCCTGTGTGTGCCTGTGTCTGTGTATGTGTGTATATTACGACATACATGCATGCTCATGACCGTTTTAGCATTATTCTGTGAGTGAGCCTTTGTCTAGGTCTCTGTGCAGAGAGTATCCCCACGTATGTCACCTTCCGTTGTACAAAGCCGGCCTTGTCCCTTTTATCGCCTGTCACTTCCCTCCACTCTTCCGCTGGTTACAAAGGACGGAAATGAGAGCCCGGATGTGAGCGGTGACATGCGCACGGACAATAATAATTAGGTCGCATCGTGATGAAATAAGCCGCACGTCAAAATTATGAAATCGAAGAAAATAATATTTATTTGCTGCCAGTTGGGTAATTTCACTGACTTTTTTAAAGCTTAAAACCTATAAGGTTTGTTTAAAAACACTTTTCTTTCTGTATGGATGTGTTTGTGTGTGTTTGTGTGTGTTTGTGTGTGTGTGTGTGTG